TTTAATAATAATATTTTTATTTTTTTTAACATGCTGTTTTCAGGAAATGCCTGCTAACCCTGCCATGGAGGTTCTTGTTCAGGCACTTCCAGTCATAGGGCAACTTTGTCCCTGTCTCCCAATTGTTCTCCTGCATATTCACCCTGTGACATGCTATACCAATGAAAACTACAAGTGAGAATGAAGTGCAGCAGTGGCTGGAGTGCATTGCATGTAGCCATAAAGTGGCTGCAATGAGACTGCAGGAGATCTGCAATAGAGAGTGCTAAAAGTGAACACAGCATTTTATTCTAAAAAGGAACTGTTAGATACACGGAGCCTTAGCGGACAAAATGTCATTCAGTAAGAGTTTACATGTTCTTTAAGTGCATGTTTTCGTCTTCACTGTTTACTAAATCATTTGAAAGGGTGTTTTGCATGTTTAATTTGGCAAGGAAGACTTGCTTGTCAAACAGAAATGGGTACACAAAACAGTGAATTGGAACAACAAAAATGCATTTTAAAAAAAGACATGTTAAAGCTAATCACCTAGCAAACGGCTGTATGCACAGATAAAATACACATAAGGCTGGGTTCACACCTAGGCGTATTGAATATGCGCGTTTGTTGCGTGTTTTTACCGTGATTCACGGTAAAAAAAAACGTGTGACAAAGGCGCGTTTCCGAGGGCTACTTGGCTGTATCCCAATGGAAACGCGCAACAAAAACGCCCCAAAGAAGCTCCTGTACTTCTTTGGGCGTAGGGCTTTTTGTAGCGCGTTCATATGGCCTAAAATACGCCGAGGTCTGAACCATAACTATAGAAAATAATGGGATTTCGGTGTTTGAGCATTTTGCAGAGCGTTCAAACGCGCTACAAAACGCCCTGGTGTGAACCAGGCCTTAGGGAGCAATTTAACTTGCCGAAGGATTTGACTTCTATATATTCAGTCCTGAAATTCACGCAACTCCATAACACAGGTTAGCCAGGTGGATAACACCACCTTCTCTGTTAGTTTTAGACTGTAGAAGGAATACAGTGGTGTCTTTTCTCCACCCCAACCTGCTTACTGGACAGAAAAAAAAGCAGAAGCATACTGTTAGTCATCCCTCTGCTCTCTCCTCCTATCAACTTGTTCCTTAGAACTGAGTGCTGTTCTATGGTAGATTATAATTGGCTTATATTGTATCAAATTCTGGTACTAGTAATTAAAACTTTTATTGACTACAGGGCTGCAATAATCTGTCTTTCATTTATATGTGATGAAATTCAAACTGTGTGTTAGATGGTGGGTTCCTAACTTATGTTTTAGGAAAGGAGTCATGCAATGCCCTTCAGTGTGATAACTTGGGCATACTCAGGCAGTTGTAAGCAGCCATAGGTATAACCTTTCCCTGTAACTGTTGCACATTTCTCTATCACTATTATAACCTAGCAATTATAACTTGTCCATCTCATAAAACTATATTGCTCAGTGTATTTCCACTTTTACAGTCACATTCGTGAAAACCCCATTACCCTCAGGGGGGCGGGCTTGCGATGATCGAGAGTGCGATCTGCCTGTCCAAGATAGATTTTTTTATCCCTGTACAACCATCGCAAGACTAAGGTCTTGCGATGGTTGTAGAGTGTATGGCCACCTTTAGACTGGCATGAAAGCTTCCATTCTCTGACTTGTTGCTGCAAATTATCTCCAGGGCAGTGAATTGAAGCCTATTCAACTTTTACTGCATGTGATGTCACTACCCAGGAACCAGTGACCTAGCTTGTGGGATGAGGAATGGCTCGTTCTCTGACAGGTATTTTGCTTTGTGACTTATGCATAGCAAGATATTCTCAAATCATTCCCTTCTGCAGTTACTAGAATATGTAGATAGAGTGCTCTTTCTTCATCATTTAACCAGGAATAATGCATGAAGCTCACTGTATAATTCCACAGTGAGTGGTAATGCACGGATGCCTCACTCGAGCTCCACTGGGTATACAAATATTGTGGCGACAGAGAAACAATTCTTATCCCAATGTGTATTTTAGATTGACTTCTTAATAAGCTCATGAGATGAAGTCCCTTAACACTTTATAAAGCTTATACAGTATTCTCTATTCATTTACAAAAAAACCTAGCCATGAATACATTTTTTTAATGTGCTGATAAGATGCATTTGAGTGGAGCGATGGTTTGATTTTCATACATGGGTATGAGCACAGCACAATTCGTACATGTTGTTAGTATGCAGATAACATTAAAAACATGCCTTATTAATGGCTTTCTAAAATATTATGGCAATTGGTTGGTATTGTTATTTATGCTTTGGTGTGAGTGTATCTTTGTTTGACTCCTGGGTGATTGTGGATATATTTCACCATACAGTTAATTGCTGTCTATGATGCACACTCGTGTCTAGACTCATCGATGGTTAGCTGGCCCCTGGGCACACCTGAAATACTGAGAAGCATTTGAGAGGATATCAGCAGGCGGTGAAGTGTCGGCAAGTATTGGCACCTGCATTTACTGCAGAGAAATCACTCTTTGGTGAAGTACATGTACAGTACACCCTGGAATCAGTAGATGCACATCCAAGCGAGCACATTAGTTAAACATTGGTGACTGTTTGCTTTTTTTTTTTTGTATTCAGCATCTATACAATTAGTAAACCACGGTACACCCGTTATTGAATGCAAATTATTTGCTAACCTTGCTGCTTTAGCAGGATCAAAACCTTTTTTTTTTTTTTTTTAATATCATATTCTGCTGTAATAGAAGTTGGCCTTTAACCTCTTCTGGACTTTGGCCATGACACGTACGTCCTGAAAAAGTACACAGACCGTGCATGGCAAACCCCCTGTTGCCATGCCCTTTGATGGGCAAATGACAGCCCAGACTTGCTGTAGGGCACCATTTTTTTTGCAGCTTATCAACAAGGGGGGTAATGTATCAAATGTGGTCAAGTTGGGGTGAGAAACGGCAATCAAGACCTGACCATGGTCCTACTTAATAAATGTTTGCACTGTATTTATGTAGAAACATGACTGATCATATATGGTCATGTGTGCTTATGGTAAACTGTGTGCAGAAAGGAGTTTACTCTCCACGTATAAATAAACTGAAACATTGATGTATAGCTAATTTTACAGAGCCTGATCTGAACTGTTCATAAAGATAGATTTTAATAC